GGAGTTTTTCCTTCCCACTGTCACCAAAGTGCTTGCTCATAGGGGGTCATATGATTGTGGTGTTTTTCTCTGTATCTATGAAGCGCCTTGAGGCGACTTTTGTTGTGATTTGGCGCTATATAAATAAAATTGAATTGAATTGAATTGAATTGGACTGACAAGTGTTCTGACAGCTGTAGCTGATAGCGGTCTGCTAGGCCTCATCTCTGCTGGAATCACTGAATTGGACCTCTGAGCTGTATTTGTACTTCAGTTTTGTTCAGTGAGGTTCCAGTGTTTTATACGTCTGTTACACATCACTCATTAACACATATTTGCGTCTATTGCATTGTAGTGCAGTTTATGGATGGATGAATGTCGCTTGCTAACCAACGTTGCTAGCATTAGCTAACAGCTCAGCACTTTACCCATTAACAGAGGTGGGACCAAGTCATTGTTTTGCAAGTCTCAAGTAAGTCTCAAGTCTTTATCCTCAAGTCTCAAGTCAAGTCTCAAGTAATGTCAGGCAAGTCAGAGTCGAGTCTCAAGTCACTGGTGTAAAAGTCCGAGTCAAGTCACAAGTCTGAAACTTTGAATTTCAAGTCCTTTCGAGTCTTTAAAAAAAAAAAAACGAAAAAATAATGTTGCAGTTATGCTAAATGTAAATATTAGACCATGTAATTTTAAAATCTGTGTTTTTCTCAACACATGACAAAATAGTGAACTTAGAAAATATACACAAATTGTGAAATTGCACCTCTTTAAAATGCAGCTCAATTAAACCTAGCTCCAAGAATAATTTTCACCGACAGTTCTGAGATAAGCTGCATGTTATTCTTGGATGCGGTTGTAGGACCAGCTTTAAAATCGCATGACAAAAATATCATACACATTAAAAAAACTGTATCACCAACGTAGCCTGGACAACATTTGCTAGTTAGATGAAGTCAGCTATCTCATCTTAGCATATTTATATGCATATTTATAATTATACGGTTCTTGGAGTGAGTGCATACACTCATGAAGTTTAGTAACTTCAGGTCACTGCAACAAGCCCAGGTACAGTTTACCGACGGATGGGTACAGGACCTTGAAACGCACCGTGTAGAACGAAAGACCATCGTACGTATCATAAGTTTACCAGTCTCACAAATTGTCGTCATAAATACACATTCGTTAACCGTTTATTAATATAACCTTTGAGCTCAAGGGTAATTAATTAGTAGTGGAAATAATTTCTGGTAGCGTTACAGAAATGTAGCAGTGACAACAATATTGTATGCTGTAATCACCGCGCGGATAGGAGGCGGCTGGCTTGACCGCGGCTCACAAATGACGGCTCACTTTACCGCAGTCTGTAATCGCACTGGGCAATTAGTGATACAAAAACCTGTTTTATCCTGTGAATAAAAGTATATGTTTTTGTCAGTGTACCATAATAACAGAAGCGAAACGCAATATTGTGTCAGGACAATTCACTATTTATGCACAATAAATAAAGGAGCATAGCGCGAACTACTAAAAAACACTGACCTTCGTGTAAATGCTTGGAGCAGACTAACCTGTGAGCTGGAGTGTTCTGGGACGTTATATTTGATCTTTGAATGGCTGCAATCCAGGCCATCCGTCGCGTCTTTGTTACTTCGGAAACATGGCTTGAACAATTTCTCTTCAACGACGTAATCCGATAACAACCGATCTCTTTACCCATCGGCTTCCCGTGGCTGTCATGCGACCGGCTATTGTAGTTAATAATACAACAGCTTCTTGACATTTTTGTGTTTCTTTTTATCGCTGTGTGACTGATTTCAATTGAAAGCCTGCGTGCGCTAGTACCGCTTGCCACGAGTTCCCAGAATCCTTTGCGGTTCTACCCGTGAATGACGTCACATTTTCAATCTCTATATAATATGCATGTTAAATTTTATATTTGGGGTAAAATATCAAGTCTTTTCAAGTAAATCGGTTCAAGTCCAATTCAAGTCCCAAGTCATTGGTGTAAAAGTCCAAGTCAAGTCACAAGTCTTAGAACATTTTTTCAAGTCAAGTCTAAAGTCATAAAATTAATGACTCGAGTCTGACTCGAGTCCAAGTCATGTGACTCGAGTCCACACCTCTGCCCATTAAACCAAATATGACCACTTCTGACTTCCTAAAAAGTCACACTAGTGGTGTCCATAACGCTGACTTTGAGGGTTCAAAACACAACTCATTTTACCTCCAGTCTTTCTAGTACTCACTACCCTTACACAGAGTTTGTAGGACTGTTAAAACTCTCTGTGGCCCATATGGTGGTCCTCGAGGTGACGATAGACATATCGTGTATAATGGAGAGACACACACACAGGGATCTGACAAAACTGCGGTATGTGTCACATCAGGATGAGGTATAGATAGAGATGAGATATGATATAGCCACTATTGGAAGATAGCTTCATTGTCCTCGAGCTGTATAAGTCCTGTGGACTAAATCATGAAATATTGTCTGTCAGGATGGTTTTTAGTTACTGCATGAGGTATGATGTTCACTTAATTTAATTACTGTTGTGTGCTATGAATTCTGTACACCTTAACTTAAAAATCAAAACTTACACAATGTTAAAGCTGGACTTTGTAGCATATCAGTGTGTTTGTGTGTGTGTGCAAACTCAAGCAAAAGATTTGGAGTCGGTGTGCATGATTGGCACACAATGCAGATGTGTGGGCAGCAGATGCCATCTGGAGAAAGCGGAGTTTGCTGGTGGAGGGAAGAAAGAGGGGTGGTGGTGGTAGTGTGTGTGTGTGGTGGGGGGGTTACCCCCCCCCCCCCCCTTCACCACCACCACCACCCACCCTCCCTCAACTCCAGAAAAGAAAACCACCAGTCTGACAGGAGCATAAAGGAAACGATGGGAGTGTAATCAATCAAAAACACAGCCGCTCAAATAAAGGGAGACAAGAGACACCACCCGCCCACTAGCAGCCTGTCCCGACCACCACTGCTGCCCCTCGTCATTGCTTCAAACCTTTGCCACCGTTGGTCTACGAAGATCAAAAGCACCACTCCAGTCACCGATCAGGCTCCACATCTGACTGACGAACAAGAGGTATAATGTATATTTTGGGTTGTTTGACCAATTTCAGTGGACACCAGATGCTTTGTCTGCATCATTACACTGGACAAACTAGGAAGACCATAAAGCCACAATGAGACAGAGTGTCCAGGGCCGACGAGAACAACATAAACCCACACACTCATCTCTCCATCTTTTTCTTAAATCAGCCTCATTTTTTGCAATCCAAGATCAGGACTCAAGAGCTGCCCTTTCAGAGCATGTGAGACACAAAAACACTCTATATGTCTTTCTTTTTTTTTATTGGCATCTATGAGGGGGAAAACAAAGCCACAGTATGTCTGTTGAATCACTCAAGACAAAGGCAAGTCTATTTGCCATGAGATCACCACTGTGAGGGAACTCCTGGATGTTTCCTTGTATGGGCACATATAAACATATCATAGCCACGGTTTGGAAGCTTCAGTTTGGTGTGACAGCTACAAAAGCAGATAAGAGCTGGTGTGCTTGGCAATATATCCACACAGACACATTCATATATGTATGAAACGAGAAAAAACTAACAACCAGAAAAAAAGGCATTCACACACCTGCTGAGAGTGAGGAAAGTTTCTAATGGCTCTCGCCCTTGCTGGCTCGCCTTTGCAACCTGGGCTGTGAATGAAGCAGTCTAAATCCAAAATGCATGCAGGTGCATTTTGGATTTTTAAAACAGCAGTTTGCACACAGCGCTGGAATACTTTTCTGATCTTCGTGAAAAATTCTGTTTTGACTTTCCAACCCCCAGAAAGAACAGGCAGCCATACAGCTGATAGGGATACAATGACAAGCCCAAGGACAATGAAGGCAGAGGGCATGCTGAATCACTGCCTTCGTAATCTGTGAAAAGGCCACATTTCACTCCAAAGGAGACACAACATTCAAAGGGTGCCGGTCGTGGTTTGCGGAAGCCTGGCTGCAGTCACCGGCCGCAGTGTGTGGTGATGCAGAAAGCCCTAATCTGCCCACACAGTGACAGTCTTCTCTGCAGATCGTTGAGAGGCCGCCTGTCAGCCACAGCAATGGGCGCATCTCACGGGAGCAGTAGAAAGACCTGTGTAGGAGGACAAAGATGAGTGAGAGCACCCTGGGCAAAATCTTAAACGTGGACACAGCTGGCTTTTCTCAGATGTGAACAATGCCGCCTTTGTTTCAAGAAAAACTGCAGGGGTAACAACCATTTGCTTTTTGCTTTTTTGCAGCAGCAGCAGGAGCTCAACAGACAACCAGGTCTGCCTCGCTCACGCTGCACTGTGCCTATAGGTTTCATCGTAAATACCCATAAAGCCGTGATAATATCAGAATAACAGCAAGTGACAATAATCCAATACAAGCTCGCCACCCATCCTGAAACGTGCACTGTCAATTTTACAAAGTGCAATTCTGTGTAATGTTAGGGGAGGTCATGCTCACACTTGCTCTTTAATCCAATTTTTCCCCCTTTCATTCTTTTGGAGAACAGGCGTCGAGTTGTCCGCTAGGTGGCGACCTTGGTCCGGTGCGGCTCGCTCACCTCGGACTCACCTGGAGCCGAACTATCAGCACAGTGAGAGTGCTGCGAGCGCGAAGGACTGAGACTGACGCAGTGCATTTCACTCCCATACTGGAGAGTTCAGGAGCGCTTTCTACAGTTAGTTAAGGTGTTGCTTTTTCTAAACCCCAAACACACACACACACCAGGCAGATTGTATCTTGTAGCTCACAGTCAGTGTGAGTTGGACAAATGTGCGCTATGATTCCCAGTCTCATGCGTCTGAACTGTAGTGACCACTGTTTGGTGTGTGCAGAGGTGTGTGCCTATTTGTGTGAGTGTGTGTGTGTTGGGGGGTAGTTAATGATTATTTCCCCCCGTCTCTTCTCTTCCCACCCCCAGTTCTTCTCGTTTCCTATATGGATTGACGGAGTCCGCGTCAGAGCGCACGGAGTGGACCCGCCTCCTGGCTGTGGAGCGCTCAGTGCGTTTCTCTTCCCCCTCTGTCCGCTTCAGACCCATATTCCACTGGGAGAGAGAGAGGAGAGAGCGAGGGAGTGAGTGAGAGTGTGTGTGTGAGAGAGTGAGAGAGAGAGACAGCAGGACCTGGGAGAAGAGCACCGAAAGAAAAAGAGGAGAGGGGAAAAAACGCAGCACCGACACAAATGGCACTCATGGCAGGGATTTTGTTCACGGCCACTTTTCTTATTTCTGGGATTTCTACATCTCTTTCTTCGTCACGGATATATCCCCCAAATGAAGGTAAGGTCGCTGGGAGGAAAATTAACTGCGGCGGGACTTCATCCCCGCTCCCCCGCGTCTGTGCGGCTTTTGCGCCGCGGAGGCTCACTTCGCCGAGCCCCAGTAGTTGCGAGTGCGTGGAGCCGCGACGAGTTGGGTCACCTTTACGCACTCAGCGGCTTCTGCGGAGCTTTTATGCGAGCGAAACTGGAGTGAGAAGTGCCTGACCGAGCGCGCATCCGTTGTTTTGGGTCGGACTTGGATCGTGCCAGCAGCGGAAAGCCTGGGAGTACTGATACTTTTGCCCCCTCTCCCCTCCAGCAATACGTGCTGTTTTCTGTAGGACAGTGAAGGAGACATCTGCTCCCCCCCCCCCCCCAAAAAAATAAATAAATACAATTTTAAAAAGCACTTCGCACAAACATGTGTCGAAAAAGAGAAACCAAATGAATATACGAGTCAGTTTGGAGACTCGCAAACCACACATCCGACTGACAAAGCAGCTCTTAATCCATCATTTTCAGAAGCATCCGCAGCGATGTCTCCTGCTGTCACTTCGTCATTTAGGGGAAAAAATCCGAATAAATTCTAAAAGTTTAGCTTTCCTGCCTGGCGCATTACATTGACGCCGACACAACAAAATATTTGTCGTCGATTCATTCAAGATTTTTTGCCGATGATGTGTCAGATACACGTTTACTTAAAAAGGATCAAGTGTTAAAATGAGAACTATTTAAATGAAGTGTGGTGTATCTCATTCAAAACATGCGCTCGGAGGTCTTCGGGGCTGCAGTCGCCTGCTCGAGTCCCGGAGCGCCGCGTGTTAGGTCCGCTACAGATGAGGCTCAAACCCACTTTCTACTGTAAACACTAATAAAATCAATACTTTATTTTATTAAAGACGAGCCCATTAGTTGCACGTCTGTTCTCTGACGGACTCTTTGGTGTGCGTCTGTTCTGCTCGGCACAGCAAAGCTGTCCGACACAACAAGTCCACAGTTAGAAACCCCGAGCCCCGTTTAGTTGGGACTCAAAAGATTCAAATTTAAAATGAGTCTTCATTGTGCACGATGATGTATTTCATGTGCTTACGTGCTCGGTTTTTTATTTAATTATTTATTTATTTACAACACATGCAGCTGATTAAGCTTTTTTCCTTAAAGTGGGAATTTAAAAGAAAATTTAAAGGACCGCAAATATAAAATAAATTTGATCCCTTTTTAAATTATAAATATATGCGTGAATTTTTCTTGTGCGTGATGTTTTACTTTTTTGGAGAAAGTATTGTGTTCGGTTTTCTGTCTGTCACTGTGTTTTTTCCCCTTTTATAAAATGCTTTTTCTTTTTTTTTTCTTTTTATTTTAAGTTTACGCACGAGGATTCAGTCAAACGCGTAAAGCCGACGGTGAGCAACCGATAAAATCACGATGTGAAAGGCTCCGGGGGAAACGCGTTTGTCGTTGATAGAAGATCCCTTTGCTTAACGAAAATCAATCAAACCACATCTCTTAGGCACAGCAAGGAATTACGCAGAACAAAGCCTTCACATGTACATCTTTGTAACACTTGCTGGCCCACAGTTTTTACTCCTGAACCATCATCATGAGAAGATTTCCTCAACTACATAAATCGCTTTAAAGCTTTGTGTGTGTGTGTGTGTGTTTGCTTTAATCATTTAAAAAAAAGGAAGCCATTTCTCCTCCTCAGAGTGTAAGGCCTAATTGGATTATATGCCAGTGCTGATGTTGTGTGGACGGTCTGAGACTGCATGCTCACTTCTCTCATTCTTGTTTTCCAGTCACGTTATTGGACTCCAGAGCTGTACAGGGGGAGCTGGGATGGGTCTCCAACCCGACAGAAGGAGGGGTAAGTGCTGCAAAGAAGTGTCCCCTTGTTAGGACGCATGGTCCCCTATTGGGAAAAAATAGAGAGATGATATCCATTGTTGGCAGGAGCTGTAGAGTGATCCGCCAAATAGATACACAGCCCCCTTTGATAAGATTCTGTCCTGGAGAGCATTTTATGGGAATATCTTTGTTGTTGTATTGCGTGTGTGTTGGTGTGTGTGTGTGTTTGTGTGCATCTGGGCTCAGGATTAGATCATTTCACAAAAAAATGAATAAATTCATTTTTTATCTTATATAGAGGCCACCTGTAACCCACCTCGAGACCCACATCGGGTTCAGGAAGCTGCTTTGAGAACCATGAGGTGTGTAAGCACCCCAGTAACCTCACAAGCCCTGTTCCTCTTTCTCTTCTGCTCCCCTCCTCTCCAACCACTCTGTAATGGTCAGATGCGGGGACCGATACTCCAGCAGGCGTCGGGTTTCCTGAATAGACCGTGGATTGAATCGGCCTTTGTGGAGAAACTTTATATCCCTTTCCACCATTGAGTCGAAGCGAAAGCGAGAGGGAGAGGGAGAGGAACTTGGCAGCTGAGAGAGGGTCCTCTGGAATGGATGAATGAGGGGGGGGAAAGTGCAGTGGGGTTCAGCTCTTGCCTGCAGTATGACCAGCTACAAAGCAACGGGGAATAGGATCGACAGAATGTGTGATCTCTGGTGGTTCTAATTGGGCTACAGTGGATCTGGTACGAGAAAGAACAGGGGCCGCAGAGGGCCCCACGATGGCCACAAGTGTTAGATTTTAGTTAAACGTAAGGCACATGCAATGCCTTAACCTAGCCTAAACGTGACTGTATAGAAACAGGTAAATATGTATTCAGATGCATGCTGGGAACTAACCCTCACCCTAACTAGCCTTTTATAAATAAAAAAGTAGGTTTTGATGTTTTAGATAAAATATTCATTTTTTGTCCTCTGATTGTCCAAACCTGGGGGGAAAAAACAAATTTCAAAGGCCAATAAATAAATAAATAAATTTTAAAATCACAAATCGTCAAAGCTTAGAGGTCAGGGTCACTCAAACGACAGAAGGTTAGTGATCGTCAGTCAGAAGTCACTTCTTCCAGTTGTCCTGCTTGCACAAATGTGATGAAAACCACAATTAAGCCTTTTAATGTTTTATGAAAATGAATACAAATTAGCAACCGCCATGTCAGCTAATGAATATGAACCCAGGGGAGCAGGATCTCATCTTGTGCATCTGTTGCGAGCTCTGTTGTCGGCCTCTCTAAATGAACTTGATCGGTGCTGCGCTCCGGTCCTCCCCTCAGCCATTTTATCACAAGCAAGTGATTGACAGGGTCCCGGCAGCCGCGCAAAGCCTGCATTCACCCTCTCATTATGACCAATTGGCCTTATTCTCCCTCTTTCTTGCTATCGGCGGGGGGAAAGGTGCAGTGTTATCTCAGCGGTGCTTGATTTCCACAACAAAAGCGGGGCTGAAGCCAGAGAGCAGGAGGGAAATGATAGACATTTTTCTAAATCCTACAGCCACAGCTATGTTTAGCATTATCGTACCACTCTGCTTTGGGGAAATAAGGCTTAAATCCAGATTGTTTATGATAAGGCGTCAAGTAAAATCTGGCAGCCTGACTCACATGTTTCAATTTTTTTTTCTTTTTTGTGCAGTTTTCTAAATGGCTGAAACGACAACGGCCAAAAGCTTGTCTGCTCTTGTTTACAGCCCAGCTCAGTCAAAGGCTCTATTTAAAACACACGGTAAAAAAAAAAATCAGAGGCAGCGGGCTGCTCCGAGGCTCTCGAGAAATACTTGCGTTTCCTCAATGGTGCCGTGTAGAGAGAGAAACTTTATTACGAGTTGAACAAACATTCTCCCTGGGTAAAAAATAAGTCAGACCACACCGGGTAATCTGTGCACCTCCCGCGCAAGCTCATACTGACATCAGTGCCAATCATGTATGCAGATGTAGAGCAGGCGCACATTAGATCATTAGCAATCTTCTAATGCCTAGGTGTGTGTTTGTGTGTGTGAGACGAAGATTTTGTGTACAGCTCACCAAGTAATTGAACTGTAGGCATTGCTGAGCCAGAGACCTAATCACATATTTCCTTCATAGTGGAGGAGAAGCAATAAATATTAATATCTTTGCACAACTCTATTAGGTGTCATTCATAAAATATGCATTAATTTAAGCCATCGATGAACTGCTCTGCTTGGCTAAACCAACAAAATGCTCTTTTGCGCTGTATTGCTTGGCGCAAACTGGCACCGTGTAATATGTACTTGGTGCTTAATTGGTTACATATTACACATTGGCAGTTAGGAGAGCTTTTATGTCTGGCATTTTCTAGATGTTCTTAATGTTGAACAAATTTTCTTTACAGGTTCCTTTTAGCTGCTGTTTGGAAAATACCATTTTCACAAGCAGATTTAAAGTTTAAACTCTCGTCATCCACCCAGTCATTAGGGAACCACTTAGGGTTAGGTTGCTGAACAAGCACAGTTTAAACTGGAAGATCTAACTTTTCCAATTAGCTCTTCTATGCATTTGGCCCTCTGTTGAACACTTTTAATTTGGGAAAGCTACATACAGGAAAATTCCATATAAAGGGGTAGATTTGAAACTAACTCTAAACCAGTCACTGGTGACCTGGTGGAGATGAATAAAGTTTAAGAATTTCCCTCTGGGATTAATAAAGTCTCTCTGATTCTGATTTTAACATTTTATTATTTGTTTCCTTTCCCCAGTGGGAGGAAGTGAGTATTATGGATGAAAAGAACATCCCCATTCGGACGTACCAGGTGTGCAATGTCATGGAACCCAATCAAAACAACTGGCTCCGCACTGACTGGATCCCCAGAGGAGGTGCCCAGCGAGTCTACATTGAGATTAAGTTCACTCTCCGAGACTGCAATAGTCTCCCGGGTGTCATGGGAACCTGCAAGGAAACCTTCAACCTTTACTACTACGAGTCCAACAACGACAAAGAGCGCTACATCCGAGAGAACCAGTTCGGCAAGATCGATACCATCGCTGCAGATGAGAGCTTCACTCAGGTGGACATTGGCGATCGTATCATGAAGTTGAACACAGAAGTCCGGGATGTGGGAGCCCTGAACCGCAAGGGTTTCTATTTGGCTTTCCAGGATGTTGGGGCGTGCATTGCACTTGTTTCTGTCAGGGTCTTCTATAAGAAATGTCCTTTAGCCGTGCGTAATTTGGCCCAGTTTCCAGATACTATCACTGGAGCTGATACTTCTTCACTTGTGGAAGTTCGTGGTTCATGCGTGGATAACTCAGAGGAGAAGGAGGTGCCCAAGATGTACTGCGGGGCAGACGGCGAGTGGTTGGTGCCCATTGGGAACTGTCTGTGCAACCCTGGATACGAGGAGCGCAATTCAGAATGTCAAGGTAAGGAACTGATATTTGTCTATGGCATTTTTTTGGCTCCTTTCTCGATTTATAGACCACCGTCCCCCCTCTCCTCCAGTCCGTCCCACCCTTACAATATCCTGTCTCTGTCTTTTTGTCTTTATCTCGTGTGTTTTGTTCTCTTTGTTCTTCCCTCTCCGTTGGATGTTTTTATCTCCTTGCTCCCTAGCTCTCTACAGCCTTCTCTCCAGTGTTTAGTTGGGTGATAGAAGCGGAGATGACTGTAAATGGAGTAATTAGTGGGCCCACTGGGAGGTGTTGTGCAGTGGGATGCATCCCAGGAGAATTGGTGACACGGAGAGAGGAGACTAGTGCCCCAACTGGTTTGCACTAACGCTGTGTCTTTCACCCCCCCTAACTGTTCTTTCTCTTATTCCCAATAGAGCCCCAAGCTGTGGAAAAGAGATAGACAGCTTTAGAGGAAGAGAAGGAGAGAGAGAAAAGGGTTTATAATTCCAAGCAGGTATGAGAGGAGTAAAAATACACAGCTGGGAGATGGGGCTGAAATAGTTCTATTTGGTAGGAGAGGAATAGCCCTTTGTGGACAATTATTCTACTCTTGGCTTGCCGTGATCCTATACCAGGCAGTTTGATGAGGTTTTAAGGTCAGCACAGAGTGCTTCCCCCTTCAGACTTTTTAAAATCACAATCATGATAGAGCTTGAAGCCTGTTGGTGAATTTAAAATGATCCTAGGAATGCCAATCAAAAACCCACCAATGGATCATTTCAAATTTCTGTCAGTTTCCAAGCTCTTCATAAATGGCATTTTTGATTGCCTCTGACCCACTTTAACTCCCTTGTTTCATTGCACCCAGTGGTCTGTGGCTTATGGTATACAGTACTGTGATGTTAATAACATCTAGTAGGATTCAGCAGCTGTTTTGTTGATCAGTCTTTTGCCAAGCTGGGGGCACACTTGTAAGCTGGCCAGATGAGCGGATGCCAGTTCTGCCAGGAAAGTTTATTGGTAAACCCCGGTCGTCACCACCCACCAACATCACACAGAAAGCAGTGGGCCGCAGCAGTGAGGGGTCAGAGGCTGGGCACGGGTGATTAACAGGGGGGCGGACTACTACACCTCTCCTAATTTACGAGGCAGCCTTTATCTCGGAGGACTAATTGCATGACAAACAGGTCTGGTGATTTAGGGCTACCACTGGCTGCTCGGGGGTGGGGGAAAGGCAAAGGGGTTCAAGTAGTCACAGATGGAGGTTTGTGTGTATAGTTCAGAGTTTATTTGTTGAGCGCACTGTACGATCAGTAAGAATTCTCCTGGAGTGTTGCCACCTCCTCGGGGTTCAGATGGCTCCAGCCAGGTTTCTATATCCAGAGTCAGTTTTAGAGAAGCAGAGAGAGAGAAATCTGCAATCAGTTTACCACAACAACCTCTTATGACTCAGTATGAGAACCCTGATCTCATATTGTATACCATAACTTCCATTTTGTTGCATCATTGGAAATGACTTCTTATCTCTTCCCTTTAATTCTCGTTGAGATAAATAGCTGTTATAGTCATCATAGAAGGCAACAAAGGACTTGGAAGCTTTGATTTTATGTGACTAATGCAGTATTGTAGTGTTTGCCAGCTTGGCACCAGCACTGTTGCTCAAGCCAATATATCCATTTAGTCCCCATATCACTGCATCTGCTTGAGTTTGTTTAAGTTTACAGTGCCAGTACGCCCACTCTATTCACTTTTACCTACAGTTCTACTCTCTTTCTAAATTTCACTTTCAGCTGGATAACATGTGTTGGCTTTATTTTGATTGTGGGTCAGGGACTTGTGGGTTAAAAGGTGCTGGTCCTCAAGTGCACAGATGAGCTGGTTAATATTTCCCCATGTGACAGGCTCTGGGGGGGAGGGCCTCCGCTTTTCTATGCCCGTGTTGACAAACAGACTTACGCAGAGGTTTGGGGTTTCTTTGTGGTGAGGGTGAAATTAAAGGAAACATGAGTTAAGGTGTGATTTTTTTTTTCAGTATTGTTTTGCTGTTTTGAAAATGTGTATGAGAGTGTCAGCCTATGAGGTGGTTTGATAAAGTTCAAACTGTTTTTGTTTAAAAGGTTTTCTTTGGTGCAGTTGTGTGAGTGGTGTGTGTGTGTGCTTGTCCTGTGTACGTGCAGGGTTACAAGGGCACCCTGGCCCCTGGTTCCCAGCCCAGGATGAATGGGCTCCCCTCCATCATTGTTTGGGGCAGCAGCGGAGCCGTCTGAGACTGGTGATGTTTGAGGGGGAGAAGGATTTAGAGGGGGAGCTGACAGGGGATGTAGGACTTGTATTCTCTACCCCTGGCAGAGGTCAGGGGTCATCCCCTTCCGCATCCATCTTACTGCAGTGTATGACAGGGTTGGGGATCCAGGATTGATTAAGATGTCAGGGTTTTGACAGCTGTGGTAGGGGGAGTGTGTATGGGTGTCTGTGCCTTAGGTGGACCTAGGGTGACTAGGGTGTATAGCCAGGGCCAAGGCAAGAGGGACAACCGGGGCACTGTGGGCCAAGGGGTCCCCTGATCTAAGGAGAGGGGACTGTCTGTTTGTGTTTGGGATCTCGTTCCCTGTTAACCACCTCGCCCACTCTGTGGGGAGGGCGCGGGGGTCAGCTTGTTGTCTCACTCCTCATCTGGTGAGGGAGTCCCTGCTGTTGGAAGTGCGGGAGTGTCTCTGAGGTAATGCAAAGAAGAGATTGGTGGGCACTTTGGCCCATCATGTGTATCATCATGGAGAAATGATAATTGCCCGCTTTTTTCTTGATTAGAAGATTGATCGAAATAACGTTTTTGGCAGTTGTTTTTTCATGAATCAGATTTTAAGTTGTTTCCCTCGAAGCTGCTTCTGTTGTCATGTGTGTTTGTTGGGGATGAGTAGCTTGTTTAAGGTGTGAAGTTGACAGATGCTTCTGACACTGCAGAATGCTTGCACATAGTTGAGCTGTGAAGCTTTCACTCATAACTGCCTCTCATCACAACACAAACAAGTTTCTACTTCTTTGTGAGCTTTCTCTAGAGCCTTATCCTAATCCTAACTATCAAAACTAAATGTTCAACCTTTAGTCTAATTCTGTTGTAAACCCAGTTTTAACGTGATTCTGATTCATCAGCTGTGTGGTCTGTCCCACAGATCAGACAGAAGGCCCTGCCTTGCATGTTTTAAACTGTCAAAGTGTATGAGAGGACATTATATGAACTGAGGCTTACTCTGACCATAATCACTACTTTCCAAAGACCCTAACCCCTTATTTTTTTGTATTTAGGTTTAAATACAAACATGTAATATCGCCCCAAAACCCTGCTTGGATGCATCTTGCATGTGACATCACACAGAGCCAAAAGTAGGAAAAACTGTCTGAAACACTGATCACATCATTTAGTATTATTATAGGGTCTTTACCACACAACATAAAGCAACTTGAGGCGATTGCTGTGGTGATTTGGCGCTATGTAAATCAAATTGAATTGGATCAAATTGAATAATCAAAACTTGTACCATGTTTAATATGAGCATCCACTAATGTAACAGCATATAAAAGACAGAAAATAAGCAAATGCATGGTAAAATCCACTTTAAATTCCATCTGTGCATTTGTGTCCTCTTTAAATCCTGCTTGTGCACGTGTGTGTGTTCAGGACCCGATTGTGATGTCGGTGTGCGATCGGAGCATTTTTGCTTCAGCAGTCTTTGCTGAGCTGGAAACTCTCATTGGTATTGGATTAAGAGGTTTTACGGATGAAGTTTCTCTCCTGTGCTCCGTTCATTATATGTGTGTGTGTGTGTGTGTGTGTGTGTGTGTGTGTGTGTGTGTGTGTGCGTGTGTGTATCTAGGTCTCCCATTCTATCCCTCCCTCTGTTGACAGTGTTAAATATGCGCTTGGGAGCATCATTCTAAATTCACCACGTAATTCTATTTAGCCCGCCGGTCCCGGGTGACTTTAAATCCACAAACTCTCCCCCCACCACCACTCCTCCAACCCCTGTTTTGCTCCCTTTCTTCCTTCTCTTCTACATATACACAAATTAAGCATTTGCATCTTCCTTTTGGTTGTCTTTTTTTTTTCTTTCTGTTCCATGTCTTCTGTCTCTTCAGATTTCCTGTTGCTTCAGCGGCTATTCACAGGCGTTCCTCCTCTTTTCATATGTCTCTTTCTCCTTTCATAGCCCTCCATTTTTACTGCCGAGTTTCTGTAAGCAATTTTCACCCATTCACGCTGTCTTTTTTTTCCTCCTTTTCTCTTCTTCTTTTAACCCCCCTTTTCTTCTCTCTGCTCCGGCCGTCGAGGTGGTTAGTGTTTGTCAGCCTGTCTCTGGTGGCAGCAGCAGGAAGTGGGCTGAATAATGAGATTACCTTCGCTGTGGGGAGGGAGGCGGCACACCAAACATCATCACCCGTCACTCTCCCAGCGAACACACATGCGCGAGTGACACCCGAGAGCGTGCGCACAAACCCCAGTCATCTACATCTTGGGATAAACATTTGCCACACGTATGCTCGTGCAAACAAACTCTATATATCCAAGCAAATGCATGGAAATAGACGAAGCAGTGAGACGCATGCACGCGCGCACTCACAATCTTTAGTTTTAATTTCGTGCGCACACAGACCCGCACTCCGAGCAGAGTGCAGCAGAATGGAGGTGAATGTGCTCATCACTCTCGCTGCCACCAGAGAGGCTCATTTTGTGCCGCTGAATAGAGACGAGGAACGGAGGCTATTACCAACGGAGAGCAGCAAAGAACAACAGATGCAGAAAGAGAGGACAAAATGTCTCACGAGGAATCCTTCAACTCCTCCTCCCTTCTTCCTCGTTCCTGCTAAAATAATTGCTTAAGGGATTTTTAAATATTCTGCTGTTGTTTTCTTCTGATTAAAAAAAAAGAAGCAGTCCTCTCAGCTCACACAAATCTTCCCTCTACTTGAATGGTAAAGAAGGGGAGGAGGGAGGTGGGGCGGGGATGCTGGTGGTAATACAGCCATCATTAGTC